GGAACCCTTAAGCAAACGTATGGAACGACACAGGCGGTGTTACAAGCAATATTTAGAAAGTGGCAAGGTTGACACCAGTTCACGAATATTATTTTCTGAATATGGCGTTGAAAACTGTAAAATCTTCCTTGTTGAGGATTTCCCCTGTGATACAAAAGAACAATTGTTAAGGAGAGAAGGAGAGTATATAAGAAACAATGAATGTGTGAACAAGCAAGTAGCAGGAAGAACGCACAAAGAATACCATGATGAGTTTAAAGATTATCTCAAGGTGAAGCAAAGAGAGCGAATTCAGCGTAACAAAGCCCAGATCAAAATGCAGAGCAAAGAATACAGAGAGAGGGAAAAAGAGCACATCAAAGAGAGAGGAAAATTATATTACGAACTGAACAAAGAGAGTATTTTAGAAAAGCAATCTAAGCCGTTTTGCTGTGATTGTGGTGCGACTTGTGTGTGGGGTAGAAAAGCAAGACATTTTAGAACACACAAGCATCAGGAATACATGAAACAACTGCAAGACCAACAAGAAGATATATAATGTCATGTTATTATAATGAGCAATAAACAAGAGATTATTAGTAATGTGTATTACGATCGCGCGGGATATGGGAGCAGAAACCGGACTTTAAAGGAAGCGCGGGAGAAAGATAAAAGCATAACTATTGACGATGTTAACGAGTTTTTCAAGAAGAACGTTGAGGCAAAAAGAAAACCTGCAGGACAGAACAGTTTTGTAGCACCACATTCGGCATACGAGTATCAAATGGACTTGTTTTTTATAAACGATCTGGAAGATCAAAAGTTCAAGGTTGGCATGATCATGATAGATGTCTTTGATAAGTTTATGCATGTCGTAGCAATAAAAGGTAAAAAAGAAGAGGATTTAGCGAGTGGTATGATTGAGTGTTTGCATAAGATGGGGAAAAAACCCAAGATTATATATACCGATGATGAAGGTGCTTTATCTAAAGAAGCTATACAAACATATTTAAAGGAGCAGAAAATAGAGCACCATAGGACAAGGGCACACGCAAATTTCAGTGAGAGGGCTATCAGAACTTTTAAGGACATGTTATACAAAAGAGTTGAGGCTGACGAGAAAAAGGGCAAAAGTAATATTCAATGGACTGACTATATTCACGAGATATTGCTGACATATAACAACCAGATGATACATTCCGCCACAAAATTCACACCGAAAGAGGCACGAAAACCAAGTAATCAGTTTGCGGTCAGGTTGAATATTGCTAGTAGTGGTAAACGAAATAGGATATATCCGGATCTTGACAAGGGTGACGAAGTCAAGATATTCAGGAAGCGCAAACCGAATGAGAAGGAAAGGGTCGGAAATTTCAGTAAAAACGTTTATACTGTTGAGAGAATAGAAAAGAAATTTAGTCAAAGTCATTATTATGTGGAAGGTAACCCTGACCGTCCCTATCTTCGTTTTGAGTTGTTGAAAGTCTAATATTCTTTAGAACTAATTTCTTAAGAAAAGTATTTAAAGAAAAAAACAAGTTTATATTATAATGAAAATGAGTGACAGTGAGTATGGAAGTGAAAGTGAATACGAAAGTGAAAGTGATGATGAAACTGAAAACTTTTATTACGAATTAAAGAAATCCAATTATTTCAAAAACTGTATTTCATGTAGACAAGTTAAGAACAAACAACAAATCCTGCTAGATAAATGTGATGCCTTACATGATGTAACACATATGATTACAGACTACTATGGCTGTGATAGATGCTGTAAGTTAAGGAATTTATTTGATGACTATATAATTCCCTTTACTAAAGTATATGAATATCCAGAATATGATGAAGCTCATAGAATACTACGAGATTATGTAGACAAGGAAAAATATACACATGAGTTACACGTTGAAATGAAAACAATGTATGAGAACCTAGATAAATTTGAATTCTATAAATGGCATCAGGAGAAAAAGAAATGTTTCAATGATTATGATTATTTTCATCATTATCAACGAGTGTATACATTTTTTCTTGAAATAATATATTCTATCATTGGTTTCAATCGCAGATTATCTTCTGACCATTTAAAAGAAACAACACGGTTCATACAGGAAATGATTGTATACAATCGTGTGTAAACTAGCCTAGCAATTATATAACAGAACAAAAACTATAATGATCATAATATTATTAATGATGTTAATAATATTATGCTCCATTTTATGAAATAAAATTCTTTAAATTAATATTCTTCAGAAATGTATTTAAAGAAATATTGTTTATATATATATTAGTTAAAATGTTTAAATTTGGAGAATGTTGGAAATGTAACACAATCCAAAACAGCAAGATCTTAAATCACAAACTACCGTTTGACGTATGCCAACGCATATGTGAATATAACAAATGTGACACATGTAGGAACAAAATTGAAACAATGAACAATTTTGATGAAAGCTCGTATTGGTCAAAGGGCAACAAAGTGCAAAGAATAATTTTACATTTATTGTTTCGTAATTTTGACATTGACACCAGAATGGATAGAAGAAAGTATAAGAATATCATTAAACGGTCAACGAACCCACAGCGCAAGATCATGAAACAGTTTATAAATATTTCGCATAATGTGGATAAAACAAGCTATACACTTTACGGTGTTTGTCATGTTTCCTTGATGTATAGTATTATTACACGTTTACATGACACGGATAAGGTTTTAGTAGAAATAGAGCGATACAACTTAAAAACTGCAACATTTCGGTTCAATGGGTTTACTCTCAGTAAAGAAGTGATACTAAAAGAAATAATCCGTGAATGTTTTGATTTCTGGCTCGTTGGTTGGAGAGACTATTATAACACAACAACAGAGGAAATTATGGAATATGTAGATTATGTATTTTCATTATAACTAACGATCATATTATTATTTTGGATCTTAATAATATGATGGTTAAGCGCTTTTTTTAGTAACTTGATTTTTTTATTTTGTTTTCTATTTGTTTTGTTGGTTTCTTGTTTTTTGTTTGTTTTTGCTTTGTGTTTTGTATGAGTTTTTTATATGTATCAATATTTTTTTAATATTTAATACAAATAAAAGCCCCTAAAATCCCTACACCATATGTGTCAAACTTGATTTTTGTGTTGTTTTGCGTTTTTTTGTTTTTGGTTGTATTTTGGCATCTGCCTTTACAGAAGCCACGTAAAGCCCTTTACCCCCTTTACCCCCTTTACGTAAAGCCCCCGAGCCCTTTACGTAAAGCCGTAAACCCCCTGCAAACCCCTTGTAAATAAGGGAAAAAATAAGTAAATATAGGTATCCGAAAACCCTACAGATAAAACCCTTTACCCCCCTCACGTAAAGCCTCTTGGGCTTGAAAAATGTGCCCCTAAAAGCCTCGGCTGGGATGTAAAGAATTACATAGGGTATGTAAAGAATTACATAGGGTATGTATTGTTTTACTATGTAATTATTTACATGCACATACCCTATGTGGGGGTATTACATACCCTATGTGGGGGTATTACATAGTAAAGAAATACATCAGGGATGTAATGTTTTACATACCCGAAGTGAGGTTCCACATACCTGAAGTGAGGTTCCACATACCTATCTGGGGGTTTCACTTACCCATGTGGAGGTTTATGTAGGAGTTCGCATACCGTCCGCAAAGCCCTCTGGGATAAGGCAGGAAATGCACTTAAAGACATCTTGCCCATACAATTAATGGCAAATACTGAGAGAAAATACTGTAGCAAATGTCAATGCAATCAAAAACTGGAAAGGTTTGAAGAAGGGTATAAAACTTGCAACACATGCAGAGAAAAGGCTAAAAGATATCAACAAAAGCACAAGGAAGACATACGACAACAAAAGAGAGAATACAGAGCAAATAACCCTGAAAAAGTTAGAGAACTTGGGCGCAATCACAGAAACAAAATAAAAGATGAAATGATTACATGCCCAGTCTGCAAATACGAAGTTAAGAAGTATAAGAAAGCACAACACGAAAAATCACAAACACACCAATACTATCTAAGAAAGTTAGAAGATCCTGATTTTGAGAAAGACTTGTCTAAACCTGACTTGATTAAAATGGTTGACGGTAAAGAACATTACTACTGTCATGCTTGTAAACTCGGTATGTTGGCTTGTATGTGGAGAAGCCACTGCGAGAAACCCTATCACAAATTAAAAGTATGATATAAACATATTCTGTGAATAATTACGGAATATGTTTATATCGCTGTTGCAACCTTTGAAACCAAACCTAATAAAATCTATCTACCTACTCATGCCCATTCTTGGATAGAGGAATTATTCAGGGAATTATAGGCAAGAACACTTAAAGACATGTCATGTTAGCATATTATGGAAAGTCAGAAGAAATTGTGCTTTAAATGCTATTGTTACAGGGATATAGAATTATTTGGAGAATATCGCACATGTAGCCGTTGCAGAGAATACTGTAAGAAAAGGTATGAGACACATCGTGATCTAGTGGTGGAACAACAGAAGAAATACTATCAGAACAACCGCGACAGCATTCGGGAGCAACAGAAGGAATATTTGAAGGAATATAGGCAGATTACGATCAGATGTGATGTGTGTGACCGCGACATTAAAAAATGCAAGAAGGCAGAGCATGAGAGAACTAAAAAGCATTTACTGAACTTGGGAAAGTGATTGACACGTTTGATTGAGATATTGAATGTGTGAATGACTTGTGCTGATATGGGAATGATGTGGGGAGTGGTGTGGGGGTAGTGTGGGGGGCGCCCTTGGGGTGAATTCTATTCTGGGAGTGTTATCCCCTAACTCATTACGCCCAGGCCTCATCACGTCACAACTTCTCTTACACAGAGGCGGAATACGCATGAGGGACCGTCAATATTTTTCTGTAAGGGATGAGCAAAGGACCCTGAGCGCTACCCCCGCCTGCCCCGGTGCCTGACCGAAACGGTAGAAACAGTGCAGACAAAACCATCTCGGAGACAGCGCTGCTTTGCACTTCAGCACTGAGGCTGCTTGTGTGACCGGCTCGGCTTCTCGGGCGACCGCTGGCGTCACGCTCGGCAAGCTGCACCGGGAGGCCCTTCTCCAGCCGTCTCCCATTTGTTCGAAGCCTCTACGACTCTACGGTTGGCCAGGTCAGGGACTGACCCGAGGAGTTCTTCGATGCATTCGTGCAGATACATGTAATTGTATATTTATTACCTCTAGCGAAACATATGTATACATATATATATATATATACATACGTGTATAATATGTAGATGTATATGTATAATGTATAGCGTGTAATGTATAGTGTATTATGATTATTATTATTGTTATTCTTATTACTAATCTATCATTTATTCATTATTTTTTATTTTTATTATAAATTAACCAATTAACTAGTTAACTAATGAACTAATGAAAAATTCACTAATTAACTAATTAACTAATTAACTGATCAACTAATTGATTAATTAGTTAGTTACTATTGGTATTATGATTATTGCTTCTTCTTATTACTATTGTTATTGTTATATACGTTGCGTGCGTTCGCTGCAGATGAGGCAGCAACCAGAAACATCAGGTTTAAGCACGATGATGTCAGACAGACACAAGCTGCAGACATGGGTTTGGTGTCAGTATTAGCGATGCGGCGTTGTCTTGCAAACTTCAGCGTGCGAGCGTGCGCGCGCGCGCGAGACAGTCAGAACCATAAGCTTCCCAGATCTCCACTTTCCAAGCCTTACATAAAATATCTACTTGTTGTACTTTCTAATTACGTGTTTACGTGTATGTGTTTGCTTTTTGTAACACTTCTCCCATCCATACATACACACACAGTATACTTTGTCAACTATTTGGGCTATTTGTAGTAGATGAGTACACTGCAAGACTATAGAGTCTTTTTGACTGACAGTGCACAGGCCCGCATGGATTGTGGAGCCTTAGGTCTGCCCACCTACGATTCGATGCCCAAGTACTCTGAAGCGGCCTAGTGCTGCTTCATGCCAGAGTGGCAACACGTGGAGGTTCATGGGTACTTGTAAGTAGGGTTGTAAGTAAGGTACTTATGGTCATAAGCTTATTTAGGGTACGTTTAGCCCTTGTTATAAGTACCCATGAACCTCCAAGCACGCATCCGGGTTGGGTAGTCATGAAGCCTTCACGACGGTGACACCAAAACTTGCCAGGCTTTCCGGCCGCAATGCGAAAGCAAAACGCTCGGCACACCCACACACGTTGGGCACTTGTAAGGTTAGAAGAACTCCAAACAAAGCCACAGTTTCGACGACCAACTATAAACCCTTCTTAAGAACTCGACTACTGTACAAGTCCCCTTGCCCATCTCAATGGCCAAGTCTGAATCCCTGCAATCTGCGACTCCAGTTGACACGGGTGTTGCGTGGAGTGGCCGGTGCTTTCGCTGTCAGGGTATCGGGCTATCGCGAACAGCAACAAAGCAAGAGCACATGTACCTCCAGAACAAGTCCTACAGTCCTACCAAACCCTAAACCCGAAACCCTAAACCCTGTACCACCTCGTAGGCCAGAGATCCAATGGCGTCTCGGCTTCTGCCACAGCTGACCGTCGCTCCACAGGCGGCCACGCAGGCCCCCCGAGTGGTGGGCCTGGATGATCCGGACCTTCTTCCGTTCGTTCAAGGGCGGCATGTGGGATACCCCCAACTCCAAATCTAGGAGAAAGAAGCCCTTGCTGCCCTCAGACACAGCGAAGCAGTAAGCAGCAAACGAGCTAAACATGCTCTGGTAGGCTGGTGGGACGCAGTCGGACGCCGACCACCTTCGACTTCTCACGCCGCAGGCAGCAGATGCAGGGTTGAGGGGGGAAGGTTTGCTGCAAAGAGCGCATTCCATGATACCTTCTCATCTTTTGGTGCAGTAGTATGGACCAGGGAGGGTGGAGTTTGGAGGAGCGGCCGGTGAAGAGTCTTGTATCGTCAAGACGGCAACGAAACGTTTCTACTGAAGTTCCGAGGTTTCCAAGCACTTTTGGAACATTTCCCTGCCCAACAAGCGGTGTTACATTGGGTCCCTTGGGATCTACCACGCCACGTTGTTTCACCCCTTTGGGCTAACACTCGAGGCATGGTCAGGGGGGCGAAGATGGTGTCAATACTAGATGCAGCTTTTCAGGGTTTAGGGTTTTCAGGGTTTAGGGTTTAGGGATTCTACCCTGCCCATCCGAATCTTTCCGCTTGGCACGGGGATCGGACATATCATTGTTGATGTTCAGCTGCACAGCTTGCAATGCTTATGAGTTGCACTGTCCAGGCCGTTCTTGTACGCTCTGCGCAGCACAGTCTCCGCACAAATGATGTTTACTTGGTGTTGCAGCCCCTGCTGACAAACATGGTGTTGCAGCCAATCTAAACCTTTTCAAGCCCAAAAACCCCAGCAGCCCGAAGCCCTTGTTTGCACCTTTTTGTGGTGCTTGATGCAATGACGACACTATACACCCCATGTAAGCAATCCCTACATAAACACTAAAACCCTGAGCCCTGAACTCAACACACAACGCCCAAAACCCTAAACCCTACACCCGAAACCCTAAACCCTCAACAGGCCCTAAACCGTAAACCCTAAACCCTAAACCCTAAACCCGTAAGAACTCCCAAGGAGGCGGCGCGCCGCTTCACAGCCGAACGGCTGAAGTCGCTGCTGCCTCCCAGCCGCGCGCACTACGTGTGCCACTGCGGCATCCTGAAGCCTTGAGGGTTTAGGGTTTTAAGGTTTAAGGGTTTAAGGTTTTTAGGGTTTAGGGTTTTAAGGTTTGAGGGTTTTAAGGTTTGAGGGTTTTAGGGTTTAGGGTTTTAATGTTTTGGGTTTTTAGGGTTTTAGGGTTTAGGGTTTAGGTTGGGATGTTCTCGCCTGTTAGTATAAGGGAACAGCCCACTCTAGAGAGGAATTCGGGCGATTGTACAAGGATCGTCAGGTAAAGAGTTTAGGTTTAGGGGGGGGTGCTGGAGACTCTAAGTTTGGCGTAGTACTGGGTTTACGGTTGAGTCTCCTGTTCCTTAAGCAGGCTTTGGTTCAGTCACGGTGTTTGCGGTTGATCTGCGAAGGCTTTTCAGACTGCTAGGTAGGTGCCGCTGCTAGAACTCTTTCCACAGGACCTGCCCAAAATAGGAACATGTGCAACATGTGCGAATCACAGGCCCGGCAAGGTCTTCCTTCTACAAAGAGTCTGTGGGACCTGTCCAGACTGTCCAGCCAAAGGTCCCCACCTCCCCTTCTTGGTGGCAGCTCTGCGTTGAGAACTAATTGCGTTATAGAGATGGAGATGAAATTCAGTTGTCGAAGGGCGGAGCTGATATCACTTTTGACGTGATCTTTTTCCTTCCGGTGTGGATTCTGATGTGTAGGGTTCCACATACGCAGTTTCCATAAATTCGGGACTTTCCTAGGGCGGAGGGGTCCACTCGCCGTGGTGCATCTGCAGTCCACGGCTCCTGACGCAGGTCGCCCGACTACGTTGTCGCAGTGAACATTGCGCGCGGCCCTCTCAAAGAGAGGCGAGGCCCTTGAATGGCTCCTTTGGGCTTCGTAAAGGGTGTGGGGTTCAGACCGGCAATGATTGAAGATGCTGGATTATGTGGAGGTACTTGGTCCTCTTGAGAAGCAGCTTGATTCCGCCACAAACCAGGGGCTTCGTAAGGACTAAGGGCATGTGCTTGCTGTGAGTTTCGAAGTGACTCAGAAGACGTTTTGTATGCCACATGCTCAAGCGACCTGCCACGTCGGGTTGATTCGTTCCGGGTGCGGACTCCCCGTGTTCAGGATCTTGTTTAGGACTCCTGTAGGATATACTTGCTGTTGGGCTGTTGGTCGAGGGTGCGATGAGGATACTACTTGTGCAGCGGTAATGGCGCAGAGAACAAACGAGCCAACCCCGAAACGACCCTTATAGTTTCTCTTTGCATGTGATGTCATCGCGATGTTCATCACGGTTTTCGATACAACTCCCGGCGCCCCCTTTCCCTCCCGATCAATGGGGTCGCTTGACCCGAAGATGGTTAGGCAAGCACTAGCACAAAATGTCCGAAACACTGTTGCAGTAGGTCACGAGCACATTTGAAATCATGCTCGACATGTATCAATGTCAGTGCCTATATGGGGATCCCGTGAATTCAATCGTGTCGGAGCATCGAAAGATATAAATCCAACATAAAACCCAAAAGCATGCATCTTCCGTTGCAAGACTCCTGGTTTTTAATTTCCCTTGCGTGACCCTTTAAGGGGACTGTACAGGGAATGTCGTTTCCTAATTCCTGAGTGTTAAGCGTCGAGATCACTGCGGTTTGGGGCTCGTGGGGGTTTAGGGCTTGTAGGGGTTTATAGACCTTCGGGGGTTACAGGGCCTCAGGCATGTTGCTTGGAATTTGTGATGTCGGCTCAGACTTCTATACTCGCACATACATATATATATATATACATATACACACAATGCGTGCGAGCATGCATATATATATATATATGTACATGCATGGTGTATGTCTACAATGTTTCCTTAGCCTTGGTTTAGTGTATACATGGGGGGAAAGAACGTTTAAAAGGTAAACTGAGACTTGTGTCTTGACATCACATCGCCGAAGCCTTATTCGTCGCCTCCTTCACTCCAACTCTGGGGCCAAAAGCAGTACAAAGCAGACTTCAGACCACGAGGTTGGCATTGTGTAAACCCTAAACCCTAGACCCTAGACCCTAAACCCTAAACCCCGTACGTTTGGAATGCAAGGGTTTTAGAGGCTCTCCAGCCGCTTCATGGCCGTTTGGTTCAAGCAGAAGAGCCATTCGGTTTAAGGGCCCCTTGGAGGATGGACACCCCTAAACCCTAACCCTAAACGCAGCCAACAATCTGGCATTTGAAGGTCGCTCGGTTGCGCAGTCTACCCCCTATATGCCAACTCCTGCTAGGTAGGCCTGTCCGGTTTTAAGGACGTCTCACGCTAGTTTCACGGGTTTCGAAGTTTTTCTCCCAGCACCTACATGAGGAAGCAGGCTTTGTAGTTTAGGGCCGTGGGTGCAAGTACCATGTGCGGGGAGGGGGGGGGGGGTTTCCGAGATTAGGGGTACCTTATTGGGGTCCTTATCCTAAGGGAATCCTACTATTTGGGTCACCCTATATTCGGGGTCCCCTATTTTTCGTAAACCCCCATGTGGCAGATGATGGCAATCAGCTTTTTCATCTTCTCCTATGCATGGCCAGTTGATGCAGTTCTTTCCGCAGGCTGCATCAGTGCTGCTGAGCAATACCAGCTGAACCTGACCCAGCTCCTCATGCTGTCCCGCAGGGTTTTATTGTCCAAGAAGGACCTGGACTACCATGAGCGCGCGCGCTTCGGGCCACTGCTAGACGCGGTCTTCCGCCATCGCGAAGATCTGCTACTCCCCGAAGACTGCCCATGCGCAGTCCTTGTTGCCTCCAGTGTGCTGATTGGCTTAGAGGCCACGCACATTGCGAGCGGGGATCACAACACAAATATGGAGCACACCAAAGCATTTCACCGAATGGCTCTGTTGCAGAAAGCCATCAAAAAATCTTCGGAGACGTGCTCGATGAGCGAAGCCCGTGTCTGGCCAGCTGTGCAGGCATTGGATGCTCTTTGGATCTGCATTCTCTTGCATAGCCAATAGTAGTTAAACTTTGAGAACTTTTTGGGTTTCCTTGTTTATAGTAGGAAGAATAAAGTTGAACCTTGTGTCCCCTTGGTTATTCCAGAAGTAAGTACTGTGCATTCTTGTACAGGAGCTAAAATTTGCTGCTCAAGTACGCGCCGCTTTTGTTTGGGCTAGTTGTTGCCCTAGGCATAGGAAACCCCAGACTTCTTGCCCCACTGTATATAACGCACAAGATCATCATCGCAGTGGGTTGAGCTACCCAGCTACTCCGTTTGTCAAACGTTTCTCCGTTTCTTGCTGCCCAGGTTTTTGGAGATACCTACTCTGCGATGATAGAGCGAATGCAAAACTTGCAGCAGTGGATGATGGACTTCCAGGAGGAGGCGCCGATCACTGATGAGCAGCACATCCAAGCACTGGCTGATGCAGCGTTCCTTTGTCATAGTTGGGTAGCAGTTTACATGTTTAAGGGTACTTAAACCCAATAAGGAATAACAACTTATTTTTTTAATAGTATCCCAACAATGAACTAGGTTCGCGCTAGAAGGATTTGAGTGGTGGCCTTGTAGAGGCACGCTCATTGCATTGTTGCGCCACGGCAAGCGGAGTGGCCGGCTGTCCAATGACAAAGTGGACGTGGTAGATCATGACGTCGACATTATGGTAGGAATTGCATCCCATGAGGACTGGATACGGAAACGCTTCGGGGTTCAAGACCGCCTTGTTGAAAGAGGGTGGAGCCACTGTTTCGAGCGGTACTCCGTCGCAATCGAGAGACACAGCAATGACAAGGAGTTTCTACTCGTGCGTGGGGATCTCTTTCTATGCGTCAGATACAATCCACAGTTCACACTGGACATTGGAACATACCTCACAGAGGGTTCCATCGCCTATGCACAGAAGTATTGTATTCCCGGGTCCGGCTGCTGGTTGCGCCTCGGGTGCTTTTCAGCCGGGAGTCTTGATCTTGCACAGCCCCTGAACACCCCTCACAGAACGCTGCAAGCGTCAGGACACCTCGTCCCCACTAGTACAGATCGGCTCAAGGTGTGAGTAACCGAGGCCTCACGACGGGAGCCTGCGTGGAAGTCATGGGCGTCTACGCATTTCGGCCATCAGGCCTTGGAAAGCCCAACAAGAACGGAGAAGAGACCCTAAACCCTCAAACCCCCTAAACCCTAACCCCCTTGATGTCACGCAAACCAATATGCCATGCACCCTGCAATGCGGACTTCGTTCAACTCGGCGAAAAACCTAAACCTATATCCCAAAATCGGGATGTTTCCTGTTGTATTAACAGTCCTGAATGGGGATTACAGCGCCCTATTGTTATCCCTATGAAGGATGTTAGTAGAAGGGGGAACATCCCAACCCCAAACCTTGGTTCCTTTTGAGGCCTCAGGGGCTCTGCAAGGCCGGGCCCCTTTCAGTGCCTTACTTAGCCAATAGTTGAACTTTAAACTTTTTGGGTTTCCTTATTTAGATTATTTAGTAGGAATATCCCCAAACCCGAAACCCTAAACCCTAAACCTTTTTTTCCTTGGTTATTGGAGAAGTAAGGTGCCCTGTCCGCGGAAGCCACTGGAGACCCTCCAAGCCACCATGTTTGGCGTCACTTGGCCGGCTCATTTTTGGCGCGGAAGTCCTTGGGGATGGTACGTCTGTGGTTTATAAGGCAAGGTGTGAATACTTGAATACTAGGAGAATGTTCCATTAACTTTTCGTGAGTTTGTAGGGGCCATTTGGTGAGATTCGAGGTTGAGGGTTCTCAGGGTTTAGGGCTGTACAGAGGTCATAGGGTTGGCACAGCACAGCGCAGCATTCAGCATCCGGATCTCGCCTGAGCTGGCTGTGGCGTCTTCAACTTGCAGCATCATATTCTCCACGCAGTGTTGTCTCATTTCAGATCACCACAGCGAAGGTGAATTTCACGAGACATTGCGTGGCGCTCCCTGATGTGGCAAGGCGCCTCGAGCGTGACCACTACGACAGCGACAGGGATCCATGGCTTTCTGAAGGGTTAACGTGCTTTGGCTCGGAAAAGCTTTCCCTAAACCCAACCCTAAACCCTCGAAACCCTACACCCCTAACCCTAAACCCTAAACCCTAAACCTTTCTCACAGTTGCTTGAGCCGGCCGAGCCTGAAAACAGGATTCTGAACTTTAACACCCGCTGGATCGATGTTTCAGCCCTGCAGCGGCGACACCCCCCCCCCCCAAAAAAAAAAAAAACAAACAAAGTCATTGACAGGTTTAGGGTTTGGGGTTTTGGGTTTAGGGTTAGCACAAACCCAGGCAACAACCACCCTAAATCTAAAGCTTCGGCCGATAAGAAAATGACAAACAACTCCAGACACAATCTGAGGGCTCTTGATGCCCCTGACTTGTCGAACTCGGCCCAGGGCTTCATCAACGGATGCTGTGTTTAAGGGTAGATGGGAACAACCGAGGCAAGAGGACGTGGACATCTTGTGGCAAAGGGCTGCAGATCTCGACAAGGAGGGCTACATGTCCATGACTCCTTACCTACGTGGCTGCTCCAGCCTGAGGTATGCGACGACGCCTTTGCCATAGCACAGTAGTTGCAAGGCAAGGTTCAGCAAAGGATGAGCCATCGGCAGGAAAATCGAAGCTTTCTGGGAACCCTACATCCTAAACCCGAAATGAGCCCTCAACCTGCAAGCCAATCCCGGCAAGCACCGAAGCTCCAAAGAACCGAAAGCGCAAAGCCGAGGAGCACCATGCGGGGTTAAAGAGTCCAGGGGTTCTACAGCGTTAACGCTCGCCCGGCGCGCCTGTCGTAAACCCAAGCCCCAAAACACTATGACCCTGTGAGTCTAAAGAGCTTCACGAATGACCCTCGAACCCAAACCCTGAAACCCTGTATTTTCCTGACCCTGAGCCCTCAACCCGAAGCCAAAAGCAAGCCCCTCCTAAACCCCATACCCGAAACCCTCATCCCTAACATACCCTTAGCCCTGAATGAAAGCCCCCCAACCCTGAAACCCTAAACCCTATTATAGACTATAAACCGTAATACATGCCCTTAGCCCTACATGAAAGCCCTCCAAAACTCGAAAACCTAAATTGAAGCCCTAAACCCCAAACCCGAAACCCTAACAAAAAACCCTGAACCCCAAACCCTGAACCCTAAGCCCTAACCCCCAAACCCTAAACCCCAAACCCCAAACCCCAAACCCCAAACCCCAAACCCCAAACCCCAAACCCCAAACCCCAAACCCTAAACCCTAAACCCTAAACCCTAAACCCTAAACCCCAAACCCCAAACCCTAAACCCTATTAGGGTGGTGCCTTCAGGGAGCCTCGGCCCCGCCCGCGCGCCAAAGTTGCGATCCGCGCTCCGCCCTGCCGGCTGATGAGTCTCTTGAGGCGTGTAGTATGCATGTATGGAAACATATATATATATATATATACATGTATTCCGTTATGCATATTTACATATATACCTAAATAAATATTTTCCTTTATATATATACACACATATATATATATATGTATGCATGTATGTATGTATGAATATACATAAATATGTATTGTTTTTCGCACCTGGCCTTGTTCTAATGTAGTACATACCTGCCTGCACCAAAACCATCAGACGCGAAACTTTGCTGCACGGATCCTTTTGGAATGCCTACAAGGCGACTTCTTGCATCCAACTGCAAGACCACCAGCAGCAAGCTCCAGCAAAAGCAGGAACATGCATATCGTGCGACGAGCCGGCGTCTATGTGCAAGCAAGAGCACAACACATTGGCATGTCTGCTCGTATGTAGGGTAGATATGCAAATGTCTGGACATCTCCATACATAGAGTATCATATCTTCCGGTGTCCATTCCCTTCACGCACGTTGTGAGTTTAGGTCGGTGGTCCCTTGTTCCCTTGTTCTTAGTTGGAAATGAGGGAATTAGGGCCCCATATATATATATATATATACCCTTCAAATGGTTATGTAGGGTACCTCATTCCCCCATTCCCTACTAAGAACCCTAAACCCTAAACCCCAAACCCTAAACCCTAAACCCTACTAAGTTGTTGGCTTCTCCTTTTTCAGGCCAGGCCCTGCGGTGGGCCTGAGCCCCGCCGGCGCCGAACGGGCGCCGCTGGAGAAGCGTGCAGAGGCTGTGGTGAAGTGTAGGGTTTAGGGTTTATGGTTGAGTGCTCAGGGTTTTTAGAGTTTTTGGGGTTAGGGTTGATGGTTTCGGGTGTATGGGGGGATATGGGTCGATTGTGGGAGGACTTTGGGAGATTTAGTTTCGAGTTCAAAGCTGGTTGCGCCGACTCCCTCTTGCCCGGAGCGTGCTGTTGAAGTTGGGCTCCGGGGGGTTGGGTCGCAGCGGCTCCAATGCTTTAGCCTGGTGACACTTGAACAGCATCCTGAAGCTGAGGCGTAGCTGGGCTGTTTTGTGAAACGGCTTCCGGTCCGAAGCGAAGGGCTCACAGTGCTCCATTCAGCCACAAAGCTGCCGAGTCGCTTCAGGCGAAGGTTGAATATCCACATCCGCATGTCTGCTTCAATTCGTGCCTTTACATGTTGTGGAAGGAAAACCGCCTCAGCAGCTTTAAGAGACCGCTGAACCAATCGGAAGATGCCCGGCCCTCAGAGGTTTGAAGGTTTTTGAGCACTTGAGGGCCAGAAGCTCACAGCATGTTTGAAGTTTCTTAATTACGCGGACATGCACAATTCATGGTGTTTGTCTAGGAGCTATGGGGAAGGCGCCTGTCAGAGAGCTTTCGGCATTCAAGTGCACCTGCCACTCTGCATGGCAAGGAGTCGGTGATGTCTGTGCTCTTCAAGCGACGCTTGAGCTTCATTAAGTGCGTTTGCTATGTGACTGTTGTGACTTCTTTTGTGCGTGTTGGTCCTTGCACACCGGTTGCTTTAATTACTGGCTTTTTGTAGAGTAGTGCACTCTAGGGTGTTGTGGCGTGCTTTGGTCCTTTTGGCGCCAGGCGAATAAGCACACACAAGTAAAAACATGGCAAGTTGTGCCAACGTTTGGGACTGTTTTTAGGATGTGCGAAGATCCCAGTTGGCCTCGTGTCTTTGATCTTTCGGCTTATTCCTTTCTTCTAGAGTTCAGGTTTCCTTAAGGGTACCCGTTTATTCCTAGCATAGGGTACTTGTGGGTCTAGTGTGGACATTTCGCTTCTTCATGGAGTTCATGTGACACGTAAAGTGTATTTGTGTCAGTCGTTGAGCGTTAACTTCTATGTCTTGTTGCGTCTCTTGCGCGTTGTGCTTTGTGCATCCCATCGGCTCATCATGGATGGTCGTCTACGGGACGTGGACGTCGTTTTGCAACATAAAGGCACACCGTGGCTCTGCCAACAGAATTCTTTGGAGTTGAAGTCTGCGAGACCGAATGCAAGAAGAAGGTAGAATTGGCCGACATCACTTGAGGTTTGCTCTTTTGTTGGTTAAGGTTCATTCGCACGTCCTGTAAATCTCGCCCCAAGCCACCAGGACGTCGCCACGACTGCACCGTGAGCAGTGTCATCATCGTCTGAGGGCCTCGGCAGGGTCGCAAAGGCGGCCCAGAATGAACTTGACTAGACCATGGGGTATTGCAAGGGACCATGAAACCTATCTGACACATCTCTGGTTAGACGTCTCCAGCTACTGGGATTTGGTCTTCAGGGCTTTGGAGGTCAGGGAGTTCGGTGTTGAAGTAGAGCATTCCTCAGTTTACTCGACCCAGCACTAGCCATCGTATCTTGCAGCTTCAACGTGCAGGGGACGTTGCTGCAACTGAAGGAACCATAAAGGGCATTTTGGTTGGTCTCAAGGGGTGAAGGCTTGTTAAGTGAGACGCCGGCTCTGAAGTCCTTAGCTTTGAATTTGACAATCCCCCCCAAAATAAGAAACCTTACTGCAGAACCCTACAGGGCCGAGTCGTTTTTCAGTTCTTACTTGGTCCGGCGGATGCAGACCCACCTTGTGACCCCCAAGCACGCATTCCACGCATTGCCAACCCTAAACCCTAAACCCTGACCCCTACATCGCTTCTTGGGTTGATGAGGCTATAAGGTTCGAGGCACAGGTGAGGCTCTAGATGCACGTGTTGAGGGTTAATTAGGGCGCCCAGTAGTGCCCGTTTCGTTCCTTCTCAAAAGTTTACAAGAGCCCTTGTAGGGACTCCATTGAACAAAATCAGTTCACCCCTGTCATTCTGACTATGTTGGTATCTTCATGGCGTTGCTGGGCAACCTAAGATGGGAGGCCGAGGTGAATGACCTAGTGCGTCTGCTCCGTGCCCACGGCCTGGGCATCAGCATCCTAAACCTTCGTCACAGCCCTGGACCCTACGCCCAGACTACAGTGGGTTTGGGGCTTATTGTTTAGGGTGCAGGGTTTAGGGATACCTGCAAGCTGTACCAGTGGCACTGCCGACATATGCACCTTCAAGACAAAACTACATCGCAAGCAGCAAAGCCATGCGATAGAAAGTTGCCACCCTGAGGGAAGGTTGGAAAAAGTAGTGCCAGGCCCGATGGAGATGCCGGGCACAAGCACTGGGCACGGCTATATAGTTGTTTTCCTAGTGAGTCACTAGCGCTGACTGCGCGATACCGCTGCACCAGCATGCCGCCCAATGCCCCAGACATCTTCGACCTGGCGATAGGATCAAGAATAGCCACCGGTTATCGCGGGCATCTCTCTTTACGTGCCTACTTGGTGTGCCCCATGTAGTCAGTGGCCAGCATTGCATGCTTTCGTCTTGCATGGTTGTTTGCTTGCCTCATGTGTTGCTGCAATGTATGCTTAGCACATCGTTTGCATGCAGGCATAGTTTCATCTATCTCTCTGTTATGTTGTTTTCCTCTCTCTCTCTCTCCCTCCCCTCTCTCCCTCTCACTCTCTCCCTGTCGGCCTGGGTGTTGCCGAAGCAGGGCCTTGCCAACGCTAAGCTTTCCGAGAATTGTCGGAGAATTGTCGGGTTTAGGGTTTAGGGTTCAGGGTTTAGGGTGGGCGAAGTCTCTTGGGAAAAGGGTTTCCCTTGCCCGATACAAGCATTCAGTGGGGTGGGAGGCTGCACGCAGCATCTTGAACAGCTGTACAGGCAGTGCAGTGAAGAGTGCACCTAAAAAAAGTGATCTCGCAAGGCTATTAGGTCGGGATTTATGACATGGCTTTGATGAGGGTTAGCTTTGACACAGTTCATGGACAGCGTAGCTTTTTCTCTTGGGGAAGCTCAGCTGGTTGATTATGTCAGTAGCATTGGCCTGGGTTCGAAGAGAATTTGTAGATTCCAGACAAAGCCCAACTCTCCCTGAATCCTACATGGCAAGGGTGTTTTATCTGAGTGTTTGCCCAGTCGAGGACTTAAATCTGCAGACTCATAAATCCCTAGTTACACTCCCTTGGTATTCTGGTAGCCCTAGACCCTAGACCCTAGACCCTAGACCCTAGACCCTAGACCCTAGACCCTAAACCCTAAACCCTAAACCCTAAACCCTAAACCCTAAACCCTAAACCCTAAACCCTAAACCCTAAACCCTAAACCCTAAACCCTAAACCCTAACCCTAAACCCTAACCCTAAACCCTAAGCCCTAAACCCTAAACCCTAAACTAGCAGGAATGCTGGACTACATAGCAGATGCCCGGCTTCGACTGGCCCAGCCCGGTGCCATTGTGGTGCCAGCTGGTGGAGCACAATTCGCTGCGTCTGGGCTCCACCTTCTTCCGTAGCTGATCAGGGTTTAGGGTTCAGGGTTTGTAGGGTCTAGGGGTTTAGGGTGTTGTCAGTGCTTCCAACATAGAAGTCTCCGTAAGTAGGCATACATATCCATAGAAGTTTAAGAGCTCAAGATACCTTCGAACGTGAAGTAGGGCCGTGTTCTTGAGAAGCTTCACGGGCTGATGTTCGGCTTCGGGGGGCCGCCACTTCGCAGGTAGCTAAGCAAGCCCCAAGTGGCCATGTAGCTGTAGATCATAATGGTACTTGGGCCTCTAAAGCGAGTATTTGTAAGAACCCCTTGAAAGGCCCGAGCATATACATATACATATACATATTCATATACATATACACATACATATATTCACATACATATACATATACATATACATATACATATACATATACATATACATATACATATACATATACATATACATATACATATACATATACATACATCCTATATATGTATATACACTTATATATACACAGTTATATATATATATACACTAAAATGTATCTTTGTGTATATGACCATATAGATGTTTAAAAATAGAGATTATACGCGTATATGTATATGTGTGTAGGTACCGGGACTCCTTAGCGAAGCCAAGGCCCTGGTGGCATCTGATTCTTTGGCGATGGATGCTGGGCGGCACTGCGCCAAAGACCACACGTTTAGGGTTTAGGGTTTAGGGTTCAGGGTTTAGGGTTTAGGGTTCAGGGTTTAGGGTTTACGGGTTAGCGTTAGGGGTTTGGGGGTTTAGAGTTTGGGGTTTAGAGTTTAGGGTTGATCGTAGCTGAATGCCTGGCTAAAAAACCCCCCAGGTCGGTGGTTCTTGGTCTTCCGAAATCATATTGTGCACGGGCTTTTGGGTCTTTCCGAAATCCCCACTGCCTTTCGGGCACCTCCCACTCTATCTGCTTGCAACTCAAAGTTTTTTTCCTTTTTTCAGGCTTAGGCTTAGGCTTACGTCAGGTCGAGCGGCTAGCGGGTAGTTATGCTTCAGATTCAAAAAGTTAGCCTGAGCAGGTAGGGACGACCATATATATATATATATATAGCATCTTTCCACATCCTGCTCGCCCATGGTGTTGAGCTGTGGGCAAAATGTTGAACATGGCGCATCGAAACAGTCCTGCGTGCGAAGCAAAAGGGTTTAGGGTTTAGGGCAAAGGCTTAATTTAGGGTTTAGGGTTGAGAGTCGAAAACCTTCCGTCATCCAAGCCCCTGCACATCTGCTGGTTCTTTGTGTCCCAACCCTGCGACGCGGCGCTGAAGTCGCTGCAGGTGTCCAGTGTGCAGCCGCAGTGTAGCCAGGGCTTCGATTTGTCGGCGATTGGCTGCCTGCAGGCCTCACTCAGAGTTGGACTAGGGTGCAGGGTTTGGGGTCCAATTTCGGCGGAACACGGTGTCCAAAAATAGGTGCCCTCTTCTTTCTGGGCTCGTACAACTTATGCAGCCTGAAGCCCGCAGTTCCTGAGGTAAGCCCGAAACCCTGACCCAGCGGCTGAATCTAAACCGCGTGCCCCTCCCAAGCTGGACCGGTTTTGGGTTTAGGGGTTCACGGACCCTACAACCTAAACCCCGCTATTTCCTTAAAACCCACGAGACAGTCACTCAGACTCAAAGTGTTGCTTGAATCACAAGCTCCCCCCCCCCCCCCCCCAAGCCTTTCAAAGGATGAATAGGGACAAGCGGAAAGGGTGACAGGGGATAGTAGGGGGTAAGGGGGGTAGGAAAGGGCAGTGGTTGGGGGCGTGGTGGACCCCAGCAAAGTCTCCAGAATCTTGCGAAAGCGAGGCCTCCAAACTACGGAAGGCCCAGCAGCCCTAAACAACCCGACCAAAGCCCTGAAAGCACCTAAGCCCTATAGAAGAATTGCACACCTTGTCCCCAGGACACCGGGAAGATTTTCTTCACCAAGCAGTGCCCAGCCTTAGGAGTAAGCCTTAAGAGGGTTTCAAAGCCGGGGGTTCGGGATTAAGGGATTTTGGTTTTTTCAAAAGATGTTCCCTAAACCCGAAACCTTAAAGTTGCGGGGTATCGGCATTGGGCCTTTGAGTTGTTGAGGTATTTCTTAGTAGCAGAGTGGATAACCTTTTACCCTCTTGGGGGTATTATTAAAATCCAATACAATCCCCAAGGTTAACCTGTAGTTTTCTAGGCTGGACAACTAAGATTTTGTTGTTACGGGCTGGGTCTTTCGGTTTCAGAGCCCTGACAGCTTGATGGTTGTTATGGGGCTTAAATGAAGTTACCAAAAGATGGACATACAGTAAGTAAGACGGCTTCCGATTTATGACCCATTATGAAGCCCGTACCAGCTTAGAGCGACTTGGCGATTTAGCTTTTTGGGTAGGAGGGATGCTGCCTGAAGAGCCCAACACCCTCCAAGGTCCTCCAAATCTAAGGCCACGTAGCTTCATGGTTTCGGATTGAGCATTTAGGACTTACAAGGTTTGGGCTACGGGCCTTTGAAGGCCCGAGTCCGTATGCCTTCCAGGCTGAACATCTTCCATTATGTAGCTGTGTCCGTTGCTGAGGGTTTGCCAGTTATGCCTTCCCATCTGTGTGGTGCTATAGGCCTTGGGATTCAGGACCTAAAGGGTTTAGGGTTTAGGGATGAGAACGGAGGAATAGTGACCATTGGATTGGACTGATGAGGTGGGGCTTCCGCCTGAACACGCTTCCAGACCTCGTTCAGATGTCTGACCGCATCTGCATCTTCGAAGTGGATTTCCAGAACGGCGACAGGCTGCCTAAACCCTAAACCCTAAACCCTAAACCCTAAACCCTAAACCCTAAACGGACATGCGGGAGCTGCGAAGATGGAAGCCAGCCGCACTGATTGAGCCATGTATCCCAAACTCAGCCCAAACATGCAGAACGTGTTCAAAGTAAGTCCAATTGTTGGTAGTCAAACATGCTTACTTTGATCTGGCTTGGTTGGATATCTTCGTCACTCTGAACAGTCGGATCTGGAGGAGCTGTGTTTTCCTAAGCCCCATGACCATGTCACGATCAGCCAAAGTTCACCTAGTCTACCTTACCTATCTCACACAGCACGCTATGGTTGGTGGCGTGTGTACGTGTACGCATGCATACGTTGGCATGTGCCGTTCCAAAGGCCGTTCCAAAGTCGCAGAACCCTACTCGATCCCGGACCTGACTACAGACCCCTCGATGCCTGAGAGGCGTTCGGTAGCTCCTCAGAAGACCTTCAAGGCAGGTCTTCGTGGGCATTTGGGGCCTTCGGTGGGTGAGGGACCTGGTTGACCAAAAGGTAGGTGAGGGGCCGAGGACCCCCCACCCCTCCCCCGACCCGAAAACCCCTTAAACATGAAACGCCAAGCCTGGCACTCAGGGTTTCGATTTTCGGGCTTGCTTCGGCAGAGATCACCCTGGACCCCCCGCATACACTCAAGCAGTGTATTAGCAGAAGAAGCAGTCAAGAGTCGCCCACCGGCCAAACCCAAAAACCCAAACTCAAGCTGGCATCTGGGAAGAAAACGCCCGGGCCCTAATCATGAACCTTTGCAGAAGACGAAGCCATGTCGGGCTGGGACCTTCCGAAGCAGCAGCTCGGGGCAACAAGAATGGTTCTAAGGGTTTAGGGGCCGAGGTTCATAAGGTGTTAATTGGAACTCTGACCAAACCGACATTCCCCTACACCTAGAAGTTTACGCCCAAGCTGCCAGATCCGGGCAAAGCGTAGCGGCATCGTGCATGCCGTGGTCTCCTCTTGGGAGGCCCATTCGGGAAGAGCCATGTCTGTGTGGGTCTGTGTAGGTGTGGTTGTTGTTTTTGTTTTGGGGGTGGTGGGTGGGGAGGGGGTGGGGAGGGTTGAGAGGGGTGGGGGGTGGGAGGGGGAGGGGGAACATCCCAACTCATACATTGTATTATAAGGCTGGGGCCTCATGTTGGAGATGTTTGCTGTGAGATTCGCCCTTCAAGGCTCCAGAAGCTTGCATGGCCAGAAGGCCTCCGCTACTCCACATGCGAAGCCTTGATTTAAACTCCAGAATCGCTTGGGCTGGAGAGAACAGTTTTCGACTCAAGCTTCTCGAAAATCGGACGAATTGGCTGACATAGGCCTAGCTACTAACATCGAAGCACTAAAGCCAATCAGGGTCTAAGGACCCGGAACCGAAGCTCAAGCCGCACGACGCTTTCTCAGCTGAATGACAGGTCTGGAGCGATGCAGATCGAACTCATCGAATCACCACGCATCCAGATCCCTTTCTGATCGGCGTTCTGTTAAGTGGTGAGGGGCTGAACACTCTGTGAGGGCTGAGGACGGTCTTTCTTTCCTTATGGAAGCTCCGTTTTCGTCTAAAGAGAAAGAGTGGCACCTGAATCAACAGGCATATTGAGATTGGCTCCAAGAAAAACAATGAACAGTACTAGGTAGCCGCGCACGACTCTGTACCATCGGTGCGAAGCTTGATTCCTAAGCACCAGTAGGCAGAACCGACAAGGCAGTGTGAGGCAGGCTTGACCCAAGCACAGCCAGAAGTCTTACTTTCGCACATGTCTTGCGGGTGCGGAACCCGCTTCTTTGTGCTTGCGGCAGAATGTGCTCACCGACAGACGGGTCAGCGTACAAAGCACTGCATCATATGGTGCATACCGAGCTCTATTGTTCTGTTAAGTCTTTCTCTGGCTGGCTCAGGTGGAGGTTCTTTGTAGCAGGAGGACTACAGTACTACAACAAAGGGACGCTGTGCCAGCATAGGGCGAACCTGCTTAGAGTATTGCCATCCAAGCATCGCCTGCTCGCCGAGGAAGACACCTTGAACGCTCCCTGGGGCTTTGCTCGAGACATGCAGTGGGGTCGGGCACCCATCAGTCTCAAAGTTGCATGGTCCTAAACCCTAAATGTGAAAGGGTCTTGCCGTGTAACTGAGTGTAAAAATGGTTGTGTGGTAGAGTTCTTGTGTTTGGTGGTCGTGTCTTGTGAGTGAGAGCATGAGCATGAGCCAGCTAGATGACTACATCCCCCTTGGGAGTCATTTTTTGTTTTTGTTTATATAAAACCCAAGAGGATATCCGAAATATGATTGTTATTAAGGTTCTAAGGGGAGTATAGATGAGAGGTCAACAAGACTTTGTTAGTATCACAGCAGACTTTGTGGACCCGCCAACCGATGCCTTGCCGGCCTTGCGCAAGTGTGAGAGTCGAAACCCTAAACCCTAAACCCTAACACCCCTAAAACCCTAAACCCTAAACCCTAAACCCTGAACACGAAGAGCCCCTATCAACCTCAGAAAGCTCCAAACCTCACTGCAGGGCAGGGACTCCAGCTCATCGAAGATTTCGACCTGGCCACTGCCAACGGTAGCGTGGTCTCCATGTGCTCTGGGTTTAGGGTTTAGGGTTTAGGGTTTAAGATCTACAAATGGATGGGGCTTAGAGCTTGAGGGCTTATCGTCCTGGGTCAGGAAACAAAAGCCTTAAACCAAAGCAGGATTTGGGCAATGGCAGGGCGCGCGCGTGTCCGGGTGTTTCACATTCATATTTGCTCATGTGTACATGAGTGTGTGTTTGTGTGTGTGTGTGTTTCTGTGTGTTTGTTCGTTCTTTTGTTGTTTTTCGAGGTTGTCCCCACCTTCGGTGAAATGGCATTCATCTGTGTGTGATGTCCCAGGCGAGCGCAAGACAGCGCCGTCGCCGTTCCAGGTGACAGCTGGAGAGGACCTGCAGGGCATGTATAGCCTTAACCCTACTTTGGGATGTTCCCCCTTGTACTCATACGAACAGTCCCTTATATGCATTATAACGTTAGTATAAGGGGGAACATCCCAAACCCTACTATAATCTTGGTGCCAGTAAGCTTTTGCTGCGGTTGCCTTGTTTCGCCGTTTTGGGTTCTGGATGCTGGTGCCTGGAGTCGATTCACTGGCACTCCAGCAGAGCGCGCATTGTGGTCATGGCCACGGCCCCAAGAGCAGGTTTCTGCCTATCAGGGTTTAGTGTTTAGGGTTTAGGGTTTAGGGTTTAACCTGTGAGGATTCGTCCCAGTGCGTGTGCGCAACGACATGCGCGCAATTTCCAGTTTCCATCGTGCGGAACAGCTGCAAAGGAGCTTGTCCCACTTGTGCCGTGCCCTGGGTCTCCGGCATCTAAAGTGCAGCCCTTCCCAAACTTGACCGACACCGAGTGTGATCGTGTGGTGGGGTGGGGTAGCCGTCTAGCCTCGGCCATCGGCTATTCTTATGAGGTCCAAACCAAAAAAAAAAAGAAGGAGGCCCGGGCAAGGCTCAAGGCACAGACATATGAGGCGATGCCCTCTCAACCCTCGACACCCAGCCATCAACCCATCGGGGTTTAGGGGTTATAAATCTAAACCACTGTGTTAGCATGCCCGGGACTACAGTACCCTTATTCCATTCTTCAGGGTTTAGGTAGCCGATTGAACCACCAAATGGTGCCCGTTTGATTAGGAAACCTATTCGATACTGCACGCTCTCCAACCCTACATCCCCCAACCGGTCGAAATCCCCCAACCCTTTCAGGAGCTGATCCTGACCGTTCGCATGAGCGCACCCTGCCGCCAGACATTTCAGCTGCTCGGGCGGCTCAAAACCAGCGCTAGGCGACAGGGTTGGCGGGTAATGCAGGGGTCGGAATAATTACTAACAGCATTCCCTTATAATCTCTTTATACTCATACTACAATAACCCCCAAAACCCTTTTCCAATTTTTAAGGCCCCCTATAGTAGATGGGCGGCTGGACTCTGGCGAAAAAACACGAAAAGAGCGGACCCGATCTAGAGTCCCCAAGTAGTAGGATCCCCTTATAGTCAGGACCCCAAATAAGGTACCCCTAAACCCGACACCCTACACCCTACACCCTAAACCCTAACCCTAAACCCTAAACCCTACTTACATCGTAAACCCCCACCTGAGTCCTGAAGGCCTCCGGGAACTTCGGCCTCTTCGGGCTCCAATCCCCTGGAGCCCCCAAACGCCTAAGTCCCCCCAAGAGCATGATCAGGGGAGCCAAGATTACACCATGTCGAAAATTTGGGATGTTCCCCCTTATACTGACAGTCAAAAAACCTATACGGCATAAAAAGTAGAATGCAAAAATTAATTGTCATGCCTGATTTGTTTTTGCCTTAGTAGGGACTATAGTACCCCCTATCATCAGCCCTAACTAAGGACTCTTAGAATCAGGCCGAACATCTCCGGTATCTCCCATTTGATGTTTAAAGTACATGGCCCAAAACAGCCAAGGTTCACCTTGCAGCTGCTCGGCGAGCATCATTAGAGCGTGGGTTTAGGGGTTTAGGGGTTTAGGGTTTAGGGTTTAGGGTAGGGTAGACACAGCCTGTTTCGAGGTCTCGTTTCGCTGTCTCTTTCGGGCTTCGCCCCGGCGGATGGGGGCAGAGGGGTCATGCATGTTATTGGGGCTCATGAGGAGCACAGGAGGCTCCTTTGCAGGGTTTAATGGCGCGGGTACCTCCCATCGCTATCATCTTCACCAGCCGCTGTACGCTGCCCATCCCCCCCAAAACACGAATGGTGCAGTGGCCCTACAAAGCCCTCCTTCTCTCCTCAACCTGGGCTGAATGGAAACCCGAATCCCGAGCATAATACAGAAGATCCTCTACCTCTACAACCAGATCATGCTTAAAGTTTAGGGTTCAGAGTTTGGCCTATAGGAGTAACCTTGGATAAGCCAAGATGTCACCTTAGGTCAGCCTTCGGTCCCCAACACCCACTTCTTGAACCCCAGGCGAGCCAAGAGCCAGAAATCCGCGTGAGAGAAGCCTCGCTTTGTGTTCAGGGGTATAGATACCCCTAAGGTTTACCTCATGTCAGGGGGATCTAGCCTAACGGGTGTTCAAGGGCGGTAGAGTGCCAATGCGGCTTGGGAGGTGCGGCTACATGTGGAGGTGCACGATATAGCTACGCAAATAAGGCTTTTGCATGTTCTTAACAACAGTCATCCCACTTGCAAACCTGGCTATGATACCACCACTTCCCATGTCCAAGTGGGCCCTGCAACAGCTCCAACTACAACGCCCGAAAGCCCGTCCCCAATTGCTGAAGCACTATAAGCCCTGATCCCCAACCCTTCAGTCGTAGGGGCTTGCGCTTGCTATGTGGATCTAAGCTGCCCAGTCACAAAGGTTTGATTCCTGCACGCCCCATGTTGTAGCAACAAAAGGGGGCATGAGGTGGCTTGCAGCTCAGCGCTGCCCCCGCCCACAGTTTTAAGCATGCAAGCTGTGCGTGTGGACACGCACGTGATCGTCGGCAGCGGCTTTAAAAGAGAAGATTACGCAACAACCCGAAAACTACCCGAAGACCCTTTGAGGACTCATGCCTGCTTTGATCTCTACCAACTTGAGGCACTCATCCCCAAACACACCACAAAGTTGATCCCACAATGCAGCCGCACGCCTCATTTCCATGGTTGCTTCGGCAAGGCTCTTGTGACGGGCGTGGCACTTTAGTCAAAAGCCTGTACCTAATGCGCCTGCAAAGTACTTTGTTTAGATAGTCTTCAGGCAATTAAGTTCAGGATGCCAACCACCCTGTACTGCAAAATCCTAAACCCTAAGCCCTTCAGACGAGTAATATGTGAAATCCTGGGCTCCGAGGGTTTTCGAGTCGAGGGATTTCCAGAAACACATAAGAATTGGAAACGATTTGAAAGATTTCAGTTTGCGAGTGTTTCGTATTTCGAAAGAAATGGAAAAATGAAATGAGGGAAAAGGGAAGTACTGGGTGATGAAGGCGCTTTGGGCTTTGGGTGCAGACTGAGGGTGCAAAGAAGAAGTTGGTTGAAGTGAAAGACCTCGGGCTGCGCATTGAGGTTCAAGTGAGGTGATTGGGATGAAGGTGCTTGAGGCCAACTTGCCGCTGTGGGTGCGAAAGGGAGGATGCAAACCAGGTGCTTTGGGTGTCCATGGGTTAAGCTTCGAAACGGCCCTGTCCTAACTGCCCACCACAAAGCCTGTGATGAATTAAATCCTTCTCCATCCGTAGTTGTGCACAGGGCCTGAGCCCGGATTTGGCAATGTACAGCCGGAGCCCTACGAAGCATCGAATGTGAGCAATGTACCTGTGCCGGCTTTCTTTTGTGACAGGGGGCTGAGGCTCCAGCGTTCTTTCGCTTATGGTTTGCATCGTATGCATGCTGTTTTTTGCATATATATATATATACATATATATATATATATATGGGTGGCCGCCATTGTGCAGCCTGTAGGAGAAAAAGCCTATTGGTTGTGACCACACGGAGTGGTTATAACCGTAGCAAAGATGAGAGCCG